TAGAAAGACCCAGACTTTCTTCAAGCTGAAGAGCTGCTTCTGCTTCAAGGCTGTCTCGGAGATACTGCAAGCCACTGACTGATGTTTGAGTCAGGTGCCTGAACACGGAGGGTGAGAAAAAAGGGTGGTAGATTACAAAAATGGCCATGATCTTTTATTTCCTCCGGCATCCTTCATGCATTGGAATATGAGTTCCCAGCCTTTTCCATCAATAAGATGGGTATCTATTTCCCCTCCCCATGAATCTGGGCAGCCTTGCCACTTTTTTTAGGATGCAGTGGAAATGACCGTGGGCCAAATGTGAGTCTAGGCCTCAAGGAGTCTGGTCCATTTCTCAGAAACCTGCCCATCTGCCATGTGAAGGAGCCGGATTCATCTGATAGAGGACCACTTCCAAGCTTAAAGTTATAGACACCCCCCCACACACCCCCCCACACCCCCAGGGGCTGGTTATTCCAGGGACACAAGCCAGGATGCACGTTTTACTCTTTCTCCATCAAAGAAAAAAGGGTGACACGTTTTGGGGGGATGAATTAGGATAGAGCAGCAATAGAAACCTCAAACTCTGGCATCAGGAGAATTTTCCTAGCACTCAGGGCCTGGTCTGTTCACTACTGACTGCAAACACATGTGGAAAATAGTCACAATCTGAAGGCGTCCAGAAGGCCAAGGCACACAGTTCTCCTAACAGTCGCTCTTGTAATCCTAATTGTTGCCTTCTTCCCCTCTCCCCCCATTGCCCTTCCTACTGGAATGTCCCCTCCCAGCATCGCGGGTACTGACTCAGCCTATTGAAATACTTTCAGAGCCACTACACCCAGCTCTCTCTCCTTCAAGAAGCTTTCTGAATTCTGTCCTATTTTTTTTCTTTGTAGTCATGGAATTTCCTAGTCAGTTTCTCTTGGGTTAGTTTTCTGTAAGCTTAGAAATAACAGTCATCTTTGTTGCCATTTCCCAAGCACCTCCTTTATGACATTCACTCATCCTGATGACAGTTCAGCTATTTAGTTAAGTCAGTTTCGCATCTGAGACACACGCGTGTACGTCATTCACATCCCTACGTGTTTAACCATTGTATGATACTAAGAGGATTCAGGTAAACGCTAGTGTTTTAAGTTATAATGAACCTGCGTTGCTACTGCTGGCTAGGTGCTTTACCAAATGATCGTAGCTCCTTTTGTGCCCTTTGCCTGTCTTTGGCATCTGCATTACAAAGTTTATTGAGTCTGGTATGGAGAAGCGTGGCAAGGATAAAGGAGCTTGGAGACAGCAGACCGAGGTTCACATCTTGAATCTTGCACTGTCCAGCCTTTCTCATCATGCTTCCTGAGGTTAGCCAGTGCCCTGAATGACCCTGGGTTGCCTTCTTGTGAGCATGTGACATACTGGATGAATTCAGCACCCTGCCCACACACATTTTGTGTGCGTGCTAGAGCAGTGCTCAAGTCACGGAGACACTCACTGAGGAGTCGCTCAAGTCACACACACACACACACACACACACACACACACACACACTTATAACGTAAAGGTGCTAGGATTGGACCTCCCCGGGGTGACCAGATATACATCTTCTAAACATAGACCCTAAGAGCTAGAAGGGACTTGGAGATCCTCTTACACAAATCCCTACACTGAAATATGAGAAAACTGTGGTCCAGGGAAAGAAAGTGGCTCGTATGGGTCATGAAGGTAATGGATTTGTATATAACCCAGTGTCCCTGACTCTGTTTCCTAAATACATAATCTGCTTCATTTCCTTAACATTGAGGTGATACGTTTAATTGACCCACAAGAGGGAGTCAATGAACAAGAATATGTGCCCTGGATCCCCGCCCCCCACCCCATCTTTTTCTGGGAGGCTCTCCTGGAAGGCAGACCTAAAACTGATTTTGTGTAACAGGCCTATGCTTGAGCATAGATAACATCTCTTAAAATGTGTGTACACCTTTTTGGCACCCCTGGTAGTTACTCATATATTTGGAATTGAATCTACTATGTTACTATTGGCTTGCTTGGAAGAAATTAAAGTTCTAATTATTAGAATTTGAAACATCAAATATACATGCTGTAATGTTTAGGGTTATAAGTAAATACATAATAAAAACTGTATAATTACCAGGCTAATTAAAGGGAGACCAATAATAATAATAATAATAATTATTATTATTATTATTATTATTATTATTAAAATAATTTTTGAAAATAATGCAAGAAAAGGGGAGATAAGAGAATACAGAACAGTTGCGAAAAACATGGAAAACATATTTTGTTTCTTCAGTTGTGCGTTTAATTTTGTTTCTCTGTTTTATAGAATTTGTTTCCTTAAATGTTGAGTGTCTATTCGCACTTTTACTTAGTAATTGCTTTCTTCATATCGGTGCTTTACCATAGCTCACATCTGGCGATTGTGAGGGAGGAGGCGCAAAGACAGGGCCTAGGTGAAGGTCGATTGGGATCTAGGTGGGAGAGAGCTCCCTTCTTCTCTAGACCAAGGGGCCCTCAGTGTCTCCACTAGAATCCTCGCTCTACAGAGTGAACTCAGGACTTTCATTCGGGGGCCAATTCCATACTACTCATCCCCCTCCTTTTTGTTTTTCTCCTGTTACTTGGAAGGTTTGAAGTTATTACTGTCTCTGTTTTGTTTCTTACTCAGATATAGTACTCTCGTCCTGTGTATTTGCCTGCATGCACCATGACTGTAATTTTTCTCAGATAACAGTTCTCAGGCCTTGGCTTGGGGATAAACCACATTGTTGTGTGATGCCTGGGTAAGGGAATTTAAAAAATCAGTTACCTAAACAGCTGTCTAGGGCTCTGCCACACTCCCCCGCTATTTATAGTTTTTGACACAGAACTTGGACCCTTTTCGCATTTGATCTTGCTATAGTAGTTTTCTTTTATGCTTACTTTGGGGTTATGATTCTATTCATGCTGCTCTGTCAAGTTTCAAGTTTCTCCTATTTCGATGTTTCCATAATTATTCAGAATCACTTGTCAGCTACGGATATCCCTAACCTTTTCGTCATTGCATGCAATAAGGAGAAGGGAGAGTAACACATGTCCTTTGTCCAACATCTCAACGTCTCTTGTGAAGTCACAAAACTCTCTGTAGCCTTGGTTTCGGTGACGCTGCATTTTCCTAGTGTTTCTGCTAACTTCCTTAGCTCTTTTTTTATATTCCTCTGGGAACTCCTACTTCTGCTAATCCTGGTTTTATCGTCTCACAAGGGTTTCATTTTCCCTGCTGGGTGATCTCATTCCTCTGTACATGATGATTGCCTGGATTTATCTCTATAGCCGGGCTCTCACTCCCTAGCTCCCGCCAGCTATCCAACTCCTGTCAAGCCTATTGGAAGGTCCTGACATAATTCAAAATAAAACATCCTCGAAATTTTACTATTTGTCCCTGTCTATGTCTATTTCCTTAGTGATGGTCCTGTCACTCATTCAGTTCCTTAAACCAGAACATGAGGATCGTTCTTTCCTGTTTTTCTCCTTACCCTGCACATCCATTCTTGCACCAAGTTCTGCCTTTTCTCCTCCCCAAACACCTTTCAAACCCATTCCCGTCAATCCGCCTTCACAAACCATAATTAACCATCATCTCTGCCCAGGTTGATGGCTGCTTCCTTGAGTCTAATTCCCTGACTTCAGTATTGTTTCTTCCTATTGTTTCTCTACATGGTAACCAGGACAATATTTCTGAGATACTTTTTTTTTTTGCATTTTGAGAAGGACATTCCAGAGGATTCCAGACAACAGAGCCTGTTGAATTAGGCAAAACTGGGCTTCAATCTCACCTACACCAGCCGTATGAACATCTCAGCTTCAGTGTCATTTTCTATGAAAACCCAAGTAGGCATATGTCTAAAGCATATGGACTGACAGATAGTAAACATTCAATCACATTCATTAACATGAAGATTTTTGTAAATTCCCGTTGCCCAGAATAAATTCCAAAGTCCTGCAGGTGATGTAAGGCTCGGAATTATCTGAGAAGTCTTGCTTCCTGCTCCTGTTTTAGTCTTCAGTGACTAGGAAGCTCTTTTAGGTTCTTGAATGCACCATGGTCTCTCTAGCCCTTTGGTTTTTCTTCATTCTATTGACTCTGTCTGGAACGTCCTCCATCTCCTAACTCTTCCTCCATTTGTCCACCTCCTTCTTGTTCATCAGGTCCCTAGTTAGATGCCTCCTTCCCCAGGAAGTCTCCTCTGCATCTCCAGTGCTGGATTAATTGATCCTCCTATGAGCTGTCTTAGAATACTCCACTTTACCTTGCAGAGAGCTGGTTCTCCTGGGTTGTGATGGTACGTTTACCTGTCTATATGGCCAGTAGTCTATAAGCTCCTGGGGCACAGGGATTGTGTCTGTCATTTTTCACCGTTTTCTCTGCAGCACACAGCACACTGCTTGGCTCATAGTAATGTTTCTCTAAGGAAACAATAAATCAGTGAGAACTGAGCACCCCTTTGCTTTCCATATAAAGTAAGTATTGGCTTCATATTGCTAATGGGGAATCTTAGTTCAGAGAAATAATAAGGCCATGCAATAAATTATTAGAATTGGCTCTGTCTTAGTCAAGGCCAGGCTCTTTCTATGATACCAACTGCCTCTTTGATTTTAAAAGGTGTCACATTAGTTATTGCTCTGCAGCCAACTTGTTGCCATTTTACAGAAATCCATCTCCACTGGTGAAATTTCATGGAAATAATACATTTAAGTTGTGGAGAATGGTAACACACGGTTCTCTAGGGGGGCAAGAGCAATGTTGTGAAAATGTGTGAAATTGTGAAAAAGAACTTTTCAAATGATTTTTAAATGCCATTAAATTTGTTTGTGTAGATAAAGACCTTTGAGCAGAGTCGGACCCCCGGGAAATCCTCAATCACCGATACCCACTGATATACTCAGCAGTAACCACTAGTATCTCCCTATCAAGACTGTATGAGACATGTTCACCACAGTGTGTTCACCACGTTTCACAACAGACAGCCCATCCACACCCACAGCAGGGACACAAAATCAGCTCTTCCAGCAACAAAAAAAGAGGAACCAGTCGTATGTCTTACAAATACTCAGAAATCCTTTGCGATTTAGAAACACCGCTAGAACAATGCAGATTTAAACTGAGTGAGGTGTGAAGTGGGGCAAGTGATTGTGTCTGGAACGAAGGCACTTGCCCAGAGTCTCTGGCACCCTGACACACGGCAGGCATTGCAGGCTGGAAGAAAGGTAGGTCCAGGGACATGCCTTTCTAGGCTTTGGGCTGGTGGTTTTGGTTTTCTCATCCACTGGTTTTAGGATCCCTGGGAGTGGAATGAGAGAGGATGAGGTCACCCTGGATGGCACAAGCTGGTGTTCTGGGCTGGGGTGGGTTGAGTGCACTTTTAAATGTCCATTTGGGGGTTTGGGAGCACGATCTGTGCTGCACAGGATGGCTCCTAAAGACTAGCGTTGGATGCTGGATGAGGCTGTGCAGTTATCCTTATTCTTGAAATCCCCAGGCTGTGAGAAAACTGAGAGCAATATTTCACACTTTGACTAATTATTGCATGTAATTTTTTAAAAATTAGTTTTAGGTGTACAAAACATATAAAGTGATAACCCCCCCTCCCCCAATCTACTACCCCTCTGACATCATATATATTATAGCTCTTACAATTCTCTATGCTTTACTCCACAGTCTGTGAAAATATATTTTACATATATGTGTGTGTGTGTGTGTGTGTGTGTGTGTAATTATAGTTGACATTCAGTATTATTCAGCTTCAGCTTCAGGTGTACAGTGCAGTGGTCAGGCATCTACACCATCCATGAAGTGGTCTCCTTAATAAGACATGTGTCCATCTGGCACCCTACAAAACCTTTACAATTATTGATTATATTCCCCAAACTATCTTTCGTATCCCCACAGCAATATTGTGGCTACCAATTGTGCTTTCTAATCCCCTCACCTTCTCCCTCATCCCCACACCGGCCCCATCTAGCAGTCATCAGTTTTTTTCTGTGTCTCTGAGACTACTTCTGTTTAGTTTGCTCATTTATTCTGTTCTCTAGATTCCACATATAAGTGAGATCATATGGTATTTGTCTTTCTCTGTCTGACTTATTTCACTTAGCATAATGTTCTCTAGGTCCATCCATATTGTTACAAATGGTAAGATTTCATTCTTCTTTATGGCCAAGTAATACTCCATTGTGTAAATGTACCACAGTTTCTTAATCCAGTCATCTACCAACAGGCATTTCAGTTGTTTCCATGTCTTGGCTATTGTGAATAATGCTGCAATCAACATAGGGGCGCATATATTTTTTTGAATTAATGTTTTGGATTTCTCTGGATAGGTACCTAAGAATGGAATTGCTGGGTCATAACATATTGCATGCACTCATTTTTTTTTAAGATTTTATTGGGGAATAGGGGGAGGGGAACAGTGTTGGGGAATTGGGGAATGGGACCAGCCAAGTTGTTCTTCAGTCTTCGTTGTGGAGGGTGCCAGTCGCCATCTGGCTTCCTGTCAGCAGCTCGTGGCCTCTAAGCTCAAGGTGCTTGTTCAATCTTAGTTGTGGGTGGGCGTAGCCCACCTCGAACAGGCAATCTTCTTGTTACACCAGCTGAGCCATCCTGCCACCTGTTGGCAGCTTGACAACAGTTCAGCTCGGGTGCAGTGTCACTGGCCCATGTGGGAATCAAACCAGCAGCCCTGTTGCTCAGAGCTCGCGCTCTTAAGCCAACTCTTAACCAACTGAGCCACTCGGCCAGCCCTGCATGCACTTTTGATGACCTTTATTTCATGGTCTTTATTCTCTGCCTCTGACATGGTATTTTTATAGTTCAGCATTTAAGAAAAGATCTGCCACATGCAGAATTTGGTGGAGATGTTGTAGGGCAGAGGCCCCGAGATAGGCTGTGGCCTGACCTAGTTCTCCAACTCTCTTTGACACCATTCATGCGACACCCAAGACATAAACTGAAGCTGCTCATGAGGAATTCTACTGATGGGAGAGACTCTGTAGATTCTTAGAATTCCTGGGATCAGAAAGAAGCTTGAAGGCAATTGTGCCCAACTCATTCTTTTCTCAGATGAGGTAAATGACACCCAGAAAAGGAAGGTAACTTACCCAGAGTCACACTAGTTAGTACAAGAGCTAGGAGTAGAACCCAGATTTCTTGATTCCTAGTCCAGGCCTTTTTCCTGCCCAGGTCCCCATGTCTATGTTACCGTCATCATCCTCCAACAAACCATCCAAGTTCAGGCCTCCTTTTGGGCCAGTATTTCATTTTAAAAGTTTGACAAGAAAAAGAGATGCGGTTCCCTCAGCTCATCCTCCTCATGCTCCCTCCTTGGCAATTGTGACCCATGAGGTGGATAGTGATATAAAAACAAGGGCACAAAAGATGGCGGTGGTGCTGATCCACAAGGACACTGGAGCCTGTGGCGGGAGAGGGGGCAGTTTTCCAGCTTCCTCCACATCGATAGCAGGAACACCAACAACAAAGACACTGCAGTTGTCAATAGCCCAGTGTATGTCACATATGAAACGTCCATCATATCTATCCAATATTTTCTATTGTTTTGGTTTCCTTGATATTTGAATATAGGGAAGTTGAGCCCTGGAGAATAAACACAACTTTTTGTCCTTGGGAATGTATTTTCCCTAACTAATTAACACATGGATTTCTGTGGTATGAAGGTGGGAGGCAGTTGTATGACTTTACAGCCAGAGTTCTTTAGAAAGACGGAGCACCAGGCCTGAGTGACCAGGACCTGACATATGTGACCAGAGAACTATGGAAAGGCCATAAGAGTCATTTGAAAGCATTATTTTAATACAGTGTCTGTTCTGGGGAAGCTCACCGTCTTATTAAATGTAGAGAAAGAACCAAGAACCATCAGGGATGTCTGGTAAGACAGGACCTGTATTTCCTAAATCCTCAGTCTGAAGGTATGTCTGAGAGAGCAATGTAGAGGTTTCTTTGCATAAAAGAGAAATGAACCAAAGTACATGGGCAGCTGGACTAAGAAGAATCATCGTGGTTACCTTTACAACACTCCGGTCTCTATGACGGAAGAGGGAAATGAGTTTTCTTAAACCCTTGCTTCCTATAACAGGTTGAGTAAGCCATGTGTGGTGGATGGGGGAGAGGGGGAGCTGTGTCTGACAGGAGACAGAGACCGTGCAATACTGTCAAGGTGTGACAAAATCAAATCCTCGCGTGGTTTGGTGTTGTTGCAGGGAGGGGGCGGCACATTCTTGGCAATGGGTTCAACATGTGCAAATGCCCCCACATAGGCATGAAATGGCTGCTTTGGAAGTATTGAAATAAGTCAAATATATCTGGCTTCAAAAATAAAAAACAGGAGCGGCCAGGTGGCTCAGTTGGTTAGAGTGCTTTCTCTGAGCAACAGTGTTGTTGGTTCGACTGCCACATGGGATGGTGGGCTGTGCCCGCCGCAACTAGATTGAGAACGGCGACTGGACTTGGAGCTGACTTCGCCCTCCACAACTACATTGAAGGACAACAACTTGACTTGGAGCTGATGGGTCCTGGAAAAAGCACAGTTACCCAATAAAGAAAAAAAAAATGAGGCTCTTTTTAAAAAAAATAAAAACTAAAAAACAGAGATTCAAAGTAAGGTCAGGAAAATAGATGTGGGCTGAAGTAGCAGAGTTCCTCCTATCAGCTACATTCATTATTTTAACTTTATTTTAAAGGTTCTGGGATGCCAAGAAAGGATTTTAAAGAGGAAGGTGACTGAACTGGTTTTGCATTTTAGTGTGATCACTCTGGCTACAAAGTGGGGAATGAACTGCACATACAGGGTCGCAAGTGGACACAGAAGAACATTAAGAAGCTATGACAATATTCCAAATAAAAAATAGCATGATAACTTGGAGGTGGGAGAAGTACCCAGAGTTGAAACGTGGTTGGGTAGCATGATTGATTGGACACACAAGGAAGTGGGAGAAGGCATCAATGACAAACTACCAGAATTTTTGTAACATGCACAACTGAGCTAATTGTTGGGCCTTCTGCTAAGGAAAACACTCAGAGCCCCACAGCCCTCTGATGGCTTGTTACCTTTAGCTTCTGCTACTCTGTCTCAGGGACTAACTAAACTGTAGGGCTGTCAAATAACCTCCTCTGTTTTACATCGCACCACGTTAATGTTTTGAAAAAGAAATATCGAGGAAGACTGGGTATCTTCTGTTTAGGTCTTCTAATACCTGAAGTGAAACTTCTATCTATTCCCCTCTGGTACAAGTTGCTTGCTAAGTGATGATCGAATTATGGGCTTTATTGTAATGACTTTAAATTAAGCTCAGAGGGGCAGGTCTCCCAGAAAACAAAACTGGATTAGAGAGTGTGGGTTAGATTGAAGGCTGAAAAGAAAGCTACCTATTTTATTCTATCTCTTTTCTCTAAGTTGAGATCTTTGGTTCTGCTCAGGGGATACTCAAATAAAGCCTGGATACATGCACTCAGCAACAATAATAGGGAGCCTACCCCCCAAGCCCAGTTATCACCAGAACAGACTGAAAGATAAAGAGGAGAGTCTCCTGGCCTGCCTCTTCACAGTCTGGCATGTAGCTTATTCCAGGAGAACAGAAAACAGAGGACAACCCTGACCTTTCTGATCAGTCTTTGAGACAAACTGCAAAAGTGAAGAAAACACACCCACTGACCACAGGGCACAATGAATAACCCCTTCTAGGCAATCCTATTAGCCCCTCTTCCCTGTCTGTCTATCCCCCTGAAGACAGTGGCAAGTTGGAGCAAGAGATGCCAGGAATAAAGACTCTCTCTAGCAAGTCTTTGAGTGGCAGGAAGTATTAGAGGAAGTTTATGTTTTATATGTAAAGCCAAAAACAATGGGTAACAGTAGTAACAACGATAATAATATGTACTTGGTATTTGTTATGTGAAATGCACTGGTTTAAATGCATTATCTCATCTTTAAATCCCCATTAGAAGTAGGCATTATGGAGCTAGAGAAACACATAATTAAATAACTTGAGTAAAGGGTGCAGAGCTGGAATTTAAATTCAGGTGGTATAATTCCAGAGCTCCTCTGACTAAGAGGATCCGTGGTACTCATCCGGTGAATGGAAGATAGATTTGGTTTGCACGTTTATCCGTTCATCGCTTGATGAACATTTGGTTTGTTTCCATCTGTGGCTATTATGGGAAATGCTGCTAAGAAAATGTACAAGTTTTTGTGTAGACA